TTTTTTTTTTTTGTTTTTTTTGTTCTTACCTTTCTGTGACGAATAGCAGCCAGAATACCCGCCTTTTCTCTTCGGCTTCCTCGACGCTTAATTTCGAGTATGTGGATTCGCGTTGCAGGCCTAGCGTGAAGACCATGGACATGGTCTGGCTGAGGTAGAACCAAGCCTGGTCCTGTCGGTCTAGGTTTCCGTAGGCGGCGAAGAGAAAGAACGAGGTGAGGAGGTTGTCCATGTTGATTTCGTCGACTACATTGTACTCCTTCCTTGCGCGCACGGCTTCGGCCAGGAGTTCATCCCCGGACAACATGGGGTGGCCGTCGATAGTGGCTTGCCCGGAAGCCGAGTCGGGGCCCGGCGTTGCACCGTCCAGCTTCAGCTGGATGTGCGTGGCCGCGCAGAGAGCGGCAAGGAACGCGTAGCGCTGGGGGGACAAGCGCTCGGGCTGGTGGCTGTCCTGCTGCAGCTGGTCCTGTCTCACGATGGGCATGATGGGGAACAGGTACTTGAAGAAGACATTGACATGGGCCAGGAGGATTGGCGCGGAGAGGCGGCGCGGGGCGGGGAGCGCGCCGATGGTGGACGAGTCGAAGAGCGAGTTTGTCGAATCGGGCGAGGAGACAAGATCTGGGGGTGGGATGCGAGTGAACGACTCCGAGAAGTCAGGATGTGGATACTGGGCGTCCACGACGGTGAACGGCGGCGACGTCGGGGACGCCAAATGGCAGGCCCCTGGGTCTGGGGGCAGCCATTCCTTGGTGAGGGGACGCGGTCGTGAAGCGAGGGGATGGATGGGCGCGAGAGGGTACAGCGTGCGGAACTTGGGACCCTTGCGACGGAGCACGTCGCTGTAGGAGCAGGAGAGAAGAAGACGCTGGCACTTGTCGCATGGAAGCTCCCTCGAACACTTGATCTTGCGTCGACGGCAATTGTCGCACGCCTGTTTCGGCGGTTTTTCTGGGGTGGCGGATGGTTGTGGCTCCATTTCCTGTTCGGATTGAGGAGACGCCAGTTGCGATGAGATATGCTCGGATACTATCTCGCCGATGTGGAACCTTTAGCAATCATTGCAGACCGCGAGCGCGACTAGTACTGGGAGAAAATCTGGGGATAGCGAAGTGGGCTGTGTCGCCATCACCAGTTGGGATGTTAGGATTGAAGGAAAAGAGAAGAAATCCGGGGAACCATACAAAACGAAAACCTAAACAAAAAAAGAATACCAAAAAAAGCCCAGGATGCAGGTGCAAAAAACCCCGCGTTACTTTAGCAAGATGAAAGGGTTTAATCTACCTGGAGTGAGTCTTCTCCAATCTTTAGTCTGGATTTAGCCTGTGCCCTAAAAGTCTCCTAGCGTCGTTCCGAACCAAATGGAACAAATGGGAGGACCCGTCGGTAACAACTCGGTCCAAAGTCACATCGGATTCGTTGCGGAGTCGTGTTTATAGTTAACTATGTTATACCCCATCAAGGCTAACGGCCGCTCGAGAATGGTGGAAAGATGTGGTGAGGGAGCGTGGCAGGTGCAGGGAATCGGATTCATCACCACGGCACTGTGCGGAGAGTCTGTGCATAAATCAGCCTTAGCAAAGCCACCCGGCCATGCCGCACCGAATATTGATCTACGTGGGCAGGGATCAAACCAAGGAATACAGGTTCCCGTAGTGATTATTCCAGGACGAAAGGAAGCACTTCCTGGACTTTGTCGGGTATTTCCGAAAGAATCGCGTACGAAGGCCGTATACAACATGTGGGGATGTCAACCGCTCTCGGGAAGCCGAGGTCAAGAGACAGGGCAATGAATGGGCCTTGAGAAGATCGTAACACCGCCGAACTTTCCTCAAGCCGATGACGAGAATCCACTCTTAGCAGGGGCCCCCTGGTCCCCACGGGGACTGACTTTCTGGCTCAAAGGCAATTCCCCCGTATTTGGAGCTTGTTGCCCATGTCAATCAGCCAATGCTGGCAGCCATCGGATGCTCCCGTCATGGCACCACGAGCAATGGTGTGGACAAACCTCACCGGCGCACCGGAGGGGTTTAGACACTTTGGAAGGCGAGGTGGGGAAGGGTGTATTCGTGAGTATGGAGTGCCTGGAGAGAGGGTCAGAGTCGCTTTCCAGGGCTCAAGCGTCGGGGTCGGGCATTTATCGGGGGATGGACCAATCAGCGCGGGCAAATCAGATGATGGCCAGGAACGTTTTCCAATCTCCGGACACGGGATTTTTCCAACTGCTCGACTGTCTTCCCTCTATTCCGGTCTCGTCCTTTGCTCGGCAAACATTCATTTCCCATCGTCGGCTTCGCCGCTACTCTTTCGTCACGTCCCAAAGGTTGGATCATGTTGTCCCCACTCGGTGCGGGTGAAGCCTCCTCATTGCTGCGTAGAACCTATACCCACCCCCCGCATGGTCGAGAGATTGCAGGCATTCCCCTCCGACGCTGGACGGGGAATCCCTTGCCTTCACAGAATGTAACACAAATCGTGAGGAATGGGGCGGTCAATGTGAGGCATTTCGACATATATATCTAGTGATATTTTCCGGTTCGGAGACGGCAGAGGTGTCCGTTTCCTAAAAGAAATCCGTACCACTGTACGGCATCAGTCTTGTGGACCACGCCATGGCCGGCCTAAAAAGCTTCCTAGTCAGTTCTTGGCTGCTGCCAATGGCTTATGGGGCGACTCAATCCTTCGTTCCTAGCACTTCCGCGACGGCAGCATACTCGCAATTCACCATACCCGCCTCTGCCGATGTGGGTGCGAATTTGATCGCGAACATTGATGACCCCCAAGCGGTCAACGCACAATCCGTCTGTCCGGGTTACAAGGCCTCAGATGTGAAACATACCTCACAGGGCTTCACCGCTAGCCTGGAGTTGGCTGGAGACCCTTGTAACGTTTACGGAACGGATGTGGATTCATTGACCCTGACCGTGGAATATCAGGCAAAGGACCGTTTGAGCATCCAGATTGTTCCAACGTATGTGGACGCTTCCAATGCATCTTGGTACATTCTTCCGGAAGAGCTAGTGCCTAGACCAAAGGCTTCCCGGAATGCATCGGTTCCCCAGAGTGATTTTGCTGTCTCTTGGTCCAATGAGCCTTCTTTCAACTTCAAGGTGACCCGGAAAGCTACTGGTGATGTGCTGTTCAACACCAAGGGCTCTACTTTAGTCTACGAGAATCAGTTCATAGAATTTGTCACGTCGTTGCCTGAAGAATATAACCTATATGGCTTGGGAGAGCGTATGAACCAGCTGCGCCTGCTGGAGAACGCCAATTTGACGCTGTATGCCGCAGATATCGCAGATCCCATTGACGAGTACGTGCCTGGCAATTGGTTCGACCTATTTAGATTTAAGCTAATACGGATACCTCTAGTAACATCTATGGACATCATGCATTCTACTTGGATACAAGATACTACGAGGTGGATGGTCAGAAAAAGACTCATACCCTAGTCAAGAGCAGCGAAGCGGAACCATCTCAAGAATATGTCTCATATTCTCATGGAGTGTTCCTCCGAAATGCGCATGGACAGGAAATCCTGCTGCGGGATCAAAAGTTGATCTGGCGCACTCTGGGAGGAAGCGTTGATCTGATATTCTACTCTGGCCCAACTCAGGCAGAGGTCACCAAGCAGTATCAGCTCAGCACCATAGGACTCCCTGCCATGCAGCAGTATAACACACTCGGATATCACCAGTGCCGCTGGGGTTATAACAACTGGTCCGAGTTTGAAGACGTTCTTGCCAATTTCGAGAGATTCGAGATTCCTTTGGAGTACCTCTGGTAAGAAACATGTTCCTCGCTCATTTGACTTCGTCTGACGCCTATATGCAGGGCCGATATAGATTACATGCATGGATACCGCAATTTTGACAATGACCAATATCGTTTTTCATATGAAGATGGTGAGAAGTTTCTCAACAAGCTTCACGACGGTGGACGTCGCTGGGTTCCGATTGTTGACGGGGCTCTTTATATTCCTAATCCTGAGAACGCTTCTGATGCGTAAGTGACCATCTTCCATACACACTCTTACCCGTAAACGAAGACTCACTGTGGCTATAGATACGAAACTTACGACAGAGGCGCCAAGGATGATGTTTTCATCAAGAACCCCGACGCAGTCTCTATATTGGCGCTGTTTGGCCTGGCTACACTGTCTTCCCCGATTGGCATCACCCCAAAGCCTCTGACTTCTGGGCCAATGAGCTGGTCACCTGGTGGAACAAGCTCCATTATGATGGGGTCTGGTACGACATGGCTGAAGTTTCGTCCTTCTGCGTAGGGAGCTGTGGTAGCGGCAATCTGTCAATGAACCCGGCCCACCCACCGTTCGCTCTCCCCGGCGAACCTGGGAACGTCGTCTACGATTATCCCGAGGGCTTTAACATCACCAATGCTACGGAAGCAGCCTCGGCATCGGCTGGGGCGGCAAGTCAATCTGCAGCGACGTCGTCCACAACTACATCAGCCCCTTACCTGCGTACAACACCTACCCCTGGAGTTCGTAATGTTGACCACCCTCCTTATGTTATCAACCATGTCCAAACAGGCCATGACCTGAGCGTTCATGCCATCTCACCAAACTCTACTCATTCGGATGGGGTTCAGGAGTATGATGTACACAGTCTCTTCGGCCACCAAGGCATAAATGCAACCTATCACGGATTGCTCAAGGTGTGGGAGAACAAACGTCCTTTTATCATCGCACGCTCCACATTTGCCGGCTCTGGAAAATGGGCCGGTCATTGGGGTGGTGATAACTTCTCCAAATGGGGATCGATGTTCTTTTCGATCTCGCAGGCCCTTCAGTTCTCGCTCTTTGGCGTCCCTATGTTTGGTGTGGATACCTGTGGTTTCAATGGCAACACTGACGAGGAGTTATGCAACCGATGGATGCAGCTCTCAGCCTTTTTCCCATTTTATCGCAACCACAATGTTCTCTCTGCAATTCCCCAAGAGCCGTATCGGTGGGCATCCGTTATCGATGCCACCAAGGCGGCCATGAACATTCGCTATGCTATCTTGCCGTACTTCTACACCCTGTTCCATCTGGCCCACACCACGGGATCTACAGTCATGCGCGCACTGGCGTGGGAATTCCCGAATGATCCCTCCTTGGCCGCGGTCGGCACTCAATTCCTCGTCGGTCCCTCGATCATGGTGATTCCCGTTCTTGAGCCACAGGCAGATACGGTCAAGGGCGTCTTCCCAGGCGTTGGACACGGGGAAGTCTGGTACGATTGGTATTCTCAAACCGCTGTCGATGCAAAGCCTGGCGTCAACACCACGATCTCAGCACCACTCGGTCACATTCCCGTCTTCGTTCGTGGTGGTAGCATTCTGCCAATGCAGGAGGTTGCGCTGACCACCCGCGACGCTCGCAGGACCCCCTGGTCTTTGCTTGCCTCGCTGAGCAGTGATGGAACTGCCGCTGGTCAGCTCTACCTTGATGATGGCGAGAGTGTCTCCCCGGAGGATACACTTTCTGTAGACTTCGTGGCGTCTAAGTCCACTCTCCGAGCCTCTGCTCGGGGGACTTGGAAGGAGGCGAATCCACTAGCGAATGTGACGGTACTTGGTGTGACTGAGAAGCCATCCTCGGTGACCCTCAATGGCCAGGAGCTCTCATCTGACTCTGTTAAGTATAACGCCACCTCACAGGTTCTCCACGTAGGTGGCTTGCAGAAGCAAACGGCGGATGGTGCCTGGGCGAAGGAGTGGGAACTGAAATGGTGACTGAAGCGTAATCAGACAGCCTAGATCTACACACCACCTGTATGCAGTTACACATTATGAAGTGATGAATGAAACATTGCAGCGAATCGGACATCAAGAGCATGGAGCTGATATTCACGGGAATGAATATCCCGAAGCGTAGGCGAGAGTCAGACCAACGTAGCAAAACCTCCGAGACGACAGCCAAGTCCATCACGGATCCAACCCGCAGTATCCGCATTCACGAGCGCAGGAACATCGCTGAGCATCGGACGCACCATCCAAGCAGAAGCAGCAAAGCGAGAAAACCCAAGGAAAACGTCGGCCCGTCGGGCTTTTCTGCAACGCTGATCGACAGCCGCGATCCAACCAACTCGCTCCAGAGTGACTAGGGGCGGAAATTTAATGGGATTAATTTCAACGCTACCACAAATCACCGTCGTCGCCGGTATTAGCCTGCAGAAGGTAAATTAAACTGTCCTGCGAATCGCATGGATTCCCCGCCCCTGGACCTGCAGGTTAATGTAGGTCATTTGGCAAGGCGAGGTATCACCTCGTATAAATAGCAAGCGTGCATACTGTGGAGGTAGATAGCAACAACAACAACAACATCAAACTCTCTATTCCCTGAACGATAACCCTAACGGAAGACTTTCAGGATGGTCGCCTGGTGGTCACTATTTCTTTACGGTCTTCAGGCCGCCGCACCCGCTTTGGCTGCAACCCCTGCGGACTGGCGATCGCAATCTATCTATTTCCTTCTCACCGATCGATTTGCAAGGACGGATGGATCGACAACTGCGGCTTGTAATACCGAGGATCGGGTCTGCTGCTCCCTCCCAGCGTTCAGGAAGTGGAAAACGAAACTGACTTGATATAGAAATACTGTGGTGGAACATGGCAGGGCATCATCGACAAGGTAAACCACCTCCGCATCTTAAAAGAATAATACCAAAAAAGAAGTCTCGTCTAAACCATCATGTAGCTGGACTATATCCAGGGAATGGGCTTCACAGCCATCTGGATCACCCCCGTTACAGGCCAGCTGCCCCAGAACACCGCATACGGAGAGGCCTACCATGGCTACTGGCAGCAGGATATGTAGGTCGATTCCTCTGCGCACCCACCCATCTTTTACGTAGAAATGAACTAACTTGGTGGGTTTAGCTATTCCTTGAACGAAAACTACGGCACTCCAGATGATCTGAAGGCTCTTGCTTCGGCCCTTCATACGAGGGGGATGTATCTCATGGTCGATGTGGTTGCTAACCATATGGTTTGTGGACCTCTTTCACTAACTTCGCAAGCATACTTGATTTTAATACTGACAATGTAAACCCAGGGCTATGATGGAGCGGGCGCCTCCGTTGATTACAGCGTGTTCAAACCATTCAATTCCCAAGAATATTTCCACCCGTTCTGTCTCATTCAAAACTATAACGACCAGACCCAGAGCGAGGATTGCTGGCTAGGAGATAACAGTGTCTCCTTGCCCGATCTTGACACCACCAAAGATGAGGTCAAGAACGAATGGTACGAATGGGTGGGATCATTGGTATCGAACTACTCCAGTAAGACCTCTACCCTACAATCCAACTCATCAACCATACTTACAAAAACCCAGTCGACGGCCTCCGTGTCGACACAGTGAAACACGTCCAGAAGGACTTCTGGCCGGGGTACAACAAAGCCGCAGGCGTGTACTGCATCGGCGAAGTCCTCAACGGTGACCCGGCATACACATGTCCCTACCAGGACGTCATGGACGGCGTACTGAACTACCCAATGTATGACCTCCCATGACTCTTCTTGCAGTCTCATCCTCTAACAAGCCGGATTAAAACCAGTTACTACCCCCTCCTCAACGCCTTCAAATCCACCTCCGGCAGCATGGACGACCTATACAACATGATCAACACCGTCAAATCCGACTGTCCCGACTCCACGCTGCTGGGCACATTCGTCGAGAACCACGACAACCCACGATTCGCTTCGTAAGTCTCTCTACCCATACTCTCAACCCACCCACCTAACCAGAAAAAAAAACCAAAGCTACACCAACGACATCGCCCTCGCCAAGAACGTCGCCGCATTCATCATCCTCAACGACGGAATCCCCATCATCTACGCAGGCCAGGAGCAGCATTTCGCGGGCGGCAACGACCCCGCAAACCGCGAGGCCACCTGGCTCTCAGGCTTCTCGACAGACAGTGAGATCTACAAGCTGATCGCATCCGCGAACGCCATCCGGAGCCATGCCATCAGTATCGATACAGGATTCGTGACCTACAAGGTACGCACAACACACCCTTAACCCCCACATCCCCTCCCATATCTAGTGTATGGTACAGAAACAGGAGAACTGACGAACCGGGGATACAGAACTGGCCGATCTACAAGGACACCACGACGATCGCGATGCGCAAGGGCACCGACGGCTCCCAGGTTGTGACTATCTTGTCGAACAAGGGTGCGTCGGGCGATTCGTACACCCTCTCTCTGGGTAATACGGGCTACACGGCCGGCCAGAAATTGACGGAGGTCATTGGGTGCACGACCGTGACCGTGGGCTCGGATGGAACTGTGCCTGTTCCTATGGCGGGTGGGCTGCCTCGGATATTGTATCCGACTGAGAAGCTGGGAGATAGCAAGATCTGTAGTAGCGCGTGAAAGGTGGGTAGGATTGGTTACTCGGTCTTTGGTGTTTAGAATGAATTTGTTGGATCCGACATAAAACAAACCAAATTCACTGTAAAAAAAAACCCCCTACCAAGTACCTATAATCTTAGATAAGGTCAATTTCGACGTATGTATCACGCCAACACAAATAGAGCAATATCAGCTATGATCAGAATCGGTATTCTATATTGGAATACGAATACCGAGAAGGAACAACTTATTACCTCGGCCCATAAATCTTGAAACCTTAGATGAGGGTCTTTCCATCCATCGATACCCGTAGATATCCACTTGCGAGAGGGAAGGTGCCTATTTTCCCGAATTTAGGGACGGGTATGCTATGGATTTGCTTAGTAGGCCGGGATTGATTCGGGTAAATTGAATATGGAACGGGAAAAAGGAACTGGAAAAGTGAAAGAATGACGAACAGTATAATCTAATTCAAGACAAGTATTAAGGTGTATCGTCTATATTAGGTCTTGGTTTATGTTATCCAAGTATATCCTCTCGTAAAGCCATAAAACTACAAGTTCCTCTTAAGCTTGATAGAACAAAATATTCAAATTTGGTGACGTATCCAGTATTCCACTTGCCGACTATGCCGGTAAGTACCTCATACATCAGCCGATGTTGAGAGAGGGGGGAGGAGAGTTGCCCAAATCAAAAGTATACGTATTACAATCTAATGCAGTAGGGGGTTCAAAATTGAAGGAAAAGGGACATTGTATTAAGGTATGGGAGAAGTATCGGATATCCAATATTAAATACGCGCCAGACCATGTAAACCCACCCCCGGCCCAAACCGTCAACACCCGTTTCGTTATAGTATTATTACGGTATCGAAAAGCTGCTAATATGGCGCCGATCCCACAGGGATGGCCTCAGTCACAGCCATGCCACTAATGACATTTTCCGGAAATGACTGTGGCATGACATCAGGGATCAGCTGCTCTAAACCGCTATATCCCTCAATCATGCTATCCACCAGGGGTGACACGAATTGTACCTGTTCCATGCTCATCTTCCGGGCATCTCCGAACGAGCACTGAGAACCATCGACTGCGCTGCAAGGGTCGTTGCATTCGGCACAGCGACGCTTGAACTCCGCTATCATGCATGAAAACCGGTATGCGATGTGGTCTTCGTTTGGCGACAGATGCAGCAGAAACATCTGAATCTGGTCGATGAGGGGGTCGAGGAAATTGAAGTCGCAAAGATTTAGAGCGGCGTAACCGACGATGAAGTATGCTTGATCGACCACTCTCAGTGCGGTGACGAATCGGAGTTGCAGGAATTTCGAGATGATCAAGCGTGACCCCTGGAGAATTTCCGACGTGAGTCTTTCGGACTCTGCCTGGAACCTTATTGCTGTTCGATACAAGAGGATCTGACAGAACCAGAGACTAAGCTCAAATGTTGAATTTTCATCACCAGCTGTTGGAGGGTTAGCATTTATACGAGGTTGGTCCTCATAGCTTAGCCTTACCAAGGAGATGAGCCCATTCAACCTTCCACCGTTCGATCTCTTCGTACTCAACATCCGCGAATCGCATGCGTTGTTCGTTGGCTTGGAGTCGTAATGTGATCAAGTACAGCTGAATCTCTGCCACGACCTTGCCATCCTCAACCGTTGCAGCGGGGTGCTCGAGAAGTCGTGGGCAATAATCGAGATATCTCTGTGGTAAATTGAATGGACGTGCGTTGCCAACAGCGAAGCTATTGCTGCATTAGCAGGTTTGAGTAAAACCGGAAAGGTTGTACCTACTGTAACTGTGTCAAGCAGAAAGCGTTCCAGAGCCGCAATTGAGCGGCCATATCGTTGTCAATTAGAAGCTCTGAAGGCACCTGATTGAGAAAGTCAAAGGAGACGAGGGCATGATTGATTGCAGTCCCGCTCAGTAACCAGCCATCTATGGGGAACTCCTTCTGGCCTGCCGCTGGCCATAGACAAAGAAGGGCGAGTGCCTGGAGCGATTCGTACTTCAAAGGCGGTTTCTCCCACAACAGATTGATTGCCTTATGTCGAACTTGGAGGTTCATGGCATGGAGAATCGGTGGTGGTATGCCTGGCACATATCGGGAGGCTAGCAGACAGGCAGTGCTATATAGTAATGAATCGGTTTTTGTCATCTCATTGTGGAAGTCGGACGGATTATTGATGGACACTAGGGGACCGAAATTCTCCACAAATCTAACTCAAGCATTAGCGGCTATAGAGGCGGATGGATGCGATGAGTGATCATACAGCTGTACCAACTTGAGAGATAACTTAGAATCTAAGACACCCTTCTCAAAGCTGTTACCCAAGAAAGGGGATTCAACAGGAATGCGGTTTGTCTCCCCAAAGAACTCAGATTGGAGGTCCTGAATCAGCCGAACGGGCCTAGGTAGGAAAGGGCCAAACGAGTTTCCTTCAATGGAGGCCGTGTCTTCCGTAAGAACACTCCGAGCCAACGGAGGTACAGAGATATTAGAGACGCTTGGTGATTGATTCAAGATCTGTCGGAGCATGCCAGTCATCTCTCTCATACTCCTCTCTAGGGAAGTGAGACGCTCCTCAATGGAGGGGATAGCTGTCGTTGCGTCTGACCACATTGGAGTACTGTCTTGAAAGCGCTCACTTGTCTCAGGGAGCTGACAGTCGATTCTATAGAAACATTAGTACCCAAGAAAGGCTTATTTGGTCTTGGCAGGACATGGGATCCCCCAATTTGACGTAAGAGATTCGGTAAAGTGGATAATGGTGGCACCCGACCTTAAAGATAAACACCGCCGGCATGCATGCCCTCGTGGATCAAGATCGCACCGAGTTTTAAGCTTGCGGCAGGTATTACAAGCGGTCATTGAACGTCGAATGCGGCCCTTTGGGCGTGTCGCGTCGTCGCCGACATTAGGGATGATTCTTCTATGGTCGTCGGACACATGCACACTCTTGTGCTCCCACGAAGGGGCCTCATATTTGATAGGTTCAACAGTAGTTCTAGTCATGACATCAGACGACGGATGTAGCTTGTCGCGTTGATGAAATGAATAATCGGCGGGCAAAACAAGCTGAGAGCAAGAAAAATTGTGGAAACCAAGTCAGGTCCCGTGCAAATCCTTGAGAATCCACACAGGTGGGGAGGGAATTGACCCTTTTAACAGCCCACGGCTGGGTGTGAAGAGGAGATGGTGCTAGCCTACAAGCTGCTGACGAAATAGGCTCCTAAGATTGATTATCCATTTTGACCTGGGGTAAATGCGAACTAATCGGAGCATTTCAGCCAATCCGTGCAGATCCGAGTCACTAGGGTGTGGTTTCTAGAAGAATAGAAAGGTGGTTTGGCGTACTAGGGACTGCAACAAGAGAGGGGTTGATTGACATGCGCCATTGTAACTGCGCCTCCGATGTAAGCCGGTTCCATAGGGAGTCCCGCTTCCATGAGGGGGTTGGATTGGGTTGGCTAAGGTTGACGCCGACCTGAAATTAGCTAAGGACTGCCACTAATCGTGACCTCCGGTGATTTGTCGATTGCGTGTGTCTCTTATCATGGCGGGTTGAAGATTGTGATCGGGCATACACCCCCAAAGTAGAAGGTGTGTGTGACCTTTGCTCATTCGTCATGATTCAGGAACAGCCGTTTTTCTTTTCCTTTTTTTTTTTTCGTTCATCCTTAATTTGTCTCTTCCGTGGTCTCTCGTGTACGATCCGGATCACCTCTCAGGGACACGTCTGAGCGTCGTTGCTGATTTGAAGAAGCCTGGGTGATCTAAGATAGGAGGCAAGCCGATCACGCAGATCATGAGATATCAGATCCTTCGAAGTATAGGCAATAGGATACGCGCGATTGCCTTATAAACCCGTATAAACTGGCTTTTGCTTGAAGATTTTTTCCCTCTACTTCAAACAGCGAATCCTGCAATGCAACCTTGATCCCCTGGTTCAACGGTTACCCACGGGCTTGTTCCTGGTTATTGCATAGTGGCATGATAGCGTTCTGCCACCCGCACTTAGGTTTCTTAGCCAACAAAATCAGGGCATTGCTGCAGTTCTGTTCGCAACATCCTTGACCGCTGGTCTGATGCTCATCAGGCACGGCCGTTGAGGAGTGGCTCTCTACAATTCATCCCGAGTCATCTGCTTCTTGTCAGGGATTTGCATCCCTGCACAAAAGCGGAACCACTATATTAATTAACGATGTCGTGCTATTAAGGCTGGGATTTCGGATATTCCAACCGCAGGATTGAAGTGGCCACCAGTTGTGGAGCTTGGCTTGAGGTATACCTTCTCAGCGGTGCCGCCCGTCGATAAAGTGGAACGTAGAATCAAACTTTGAGCTAACACTGTTTGACTGGATCGATGAGCGGAGGTGATGCAACCTTTCAAAGCCCTTCAATTTCCGGCAACATTCGGTGATCTGACCGTCGCTCACCAACTCGGCCTCCTCCCTTAACTAATCGACGTTCAAGAAGTTTAGTGTGTCAAGCAATTTTAGTGCCACGCCAAACCGCAATTTCTCCGGCATTAGACCCTTTAAGGAACAAAGCGCATCTGTACCAATGATAGCCGGAGGGGTTGTTGAGGGGGAAAAAAAAGACGCATATTCATTTATCTTGCCCCGGTTTCTTCACATGCTACCGAAATTTCGCCAACCACATCAGGTCAAGGCGCTCGAGGATGGCGTGCACCAAGGGTGTAACGTAAAAGGCACGAACTGGGCCCTTTCTTAGCGGATGATCGATTGACAGCCAATCCTCAATCGTGCGTTGTTCATGCCAAGCAGGTCCCCGTTCAGGCTAATCCCGTTTGTAGTTGGACACGGTTCAGTACGAGGAACTGATCTGCACCATTGGCGATTGAAGCCGTCGTAGACTCCACTGGCTTGATAGGATGGTTGCATCGGATATAACGTGTCTCACATGTTATCATTGGGCGACGCTTTTGATCCATCAGTAATAAACATTTGCCAGGATGCCGAATCACAACTCTGCTTTATGACCGACTAGGAAGATATCATATCGTTGACGACCCAGATGTGGGTTGTTCGGATATCCCCGAAATCCAACAGTAGCCCGTAGTCTGCAGTATCGCCATTCTTATCAAGTATCACAATATCGTACCTGCATCTATCTATATTAACTGATTAGTTGGATAGAGTAAATTATGGGTCAATCATTGCTAGTCTCGGTATCCTTTTCTGCTTTCAGAACATTTCACAGGAGCGAAGACGAGGATGATAATTTCTGCGCTAATGACTAGTGCGTTAGCACGCGGTTCAAATATACACGGAGTCAAGCACCGTTTTAACTTCACGCCGCAGGGATCCTCTCTCGGCCATTCGGCGTGGAGCACTCGGCCCATTTTAGTCCTAAAATCATATTCGGATAAGTGAACCGCAGGTTGGTATCTTCGCAGGTGTCGGATGCCATAGGACAAGCTGGAGACTCACCGGCAACCCAGAGAATCAGTAGCCATAAGGCATACCTGACCGTGTTTCTTTTGTATTGAAGGCAAGTCTATCTAGGTAGGACTGGTCGCATTGATGAAATTAAGTGGGGGAGGGGGAGGGGGGCGCAAGGATAGTGAAGTGATGAAGCGTGATGCAGCGCGTCCATGGAAGACACGGCGCACCTGATCTCACACATCTTTCCCTGCGTTTCTTCCTCAGGCATGAGGCTCCATACCTCTCTAACGGTATCTCCCAAGCTTCTGTCACAACTGCACAGATGGGTACCTGTTCCCACTTTGACTCCTAGTGATTACAGATTGCCAAGTGCTCTGGGGTAACGTTCCATTCCATGACACAGAAAAATCGAGTATACCGAGCTAACCCCAGGTTAGAGTGATAGAAAGTTTCAGCCCTGTTACTGCATGTGCTCGTCATTATACATCGTCTAGAATGTCCAATTTCAATATGACTTGACTAATGGTTCAAACTTTGATCAACTACATGCCATAGCGTTTATATCTCTGAGACACTAGTCCAGTTTCCGTCGTATCAGCAATTTGGAGATTGTATGCGCCATGTACTCATTGCGGAGAAACAGCCACGGTTTCCCCTCAATTGACATCACTATACAGCTTTTGGCAGGGGGTCATGCTCACTTGAATCAGTACTTCTGAACTGTCAATCAGCCAGCCTGGTTTGAGCTTTGATCTCAAAGCTGATTGATTGAGAATGCCGCTGGACGCCCTGATCGTCCCCGTTAGTGATCCTCTCAATGAAATAAGGAGTTCGAATATATTAAGTCATTTCAAACGTCCTTCAACTTGAGTCATACGTATCGAAGTGGCAAGGAAAAGGGGTCTTGGTAGCTCCATTTGAGGCTCTTATTACATAACAGGTTCGCGATGCTCCCGTGGAGAAGCGTCCGTACGCCATCGGAACAGGCTTACTCAGGCAGCACTGCTTACGCTTACAGGAGATACCCAACCGTTGCGAACACCTAGCAAATTTGCTTGATTTCTCTACTGTTTCTTTTGGGGGCCAACGGTATTGACCAGCCTTCTTCCTCCAGACATTGATCGATCAGAATGTACCATTGGGGAGGCAAGCGATTCACACAGTAAGAAGACTCTTGTCTGACATTCAGCATTCTAGTTGAAAGCTTTTCAGGGTGGAACAGTGCTCAGGAATCTTCCCAAGATTGAGCTTTCAAGAACACGGATTTTTCGCTGACATCCAGATATGAACGTTTTTGACTTCCTTCCATGAACTTGAGAAGACAACATGCGCCAACTGGACATCTAGCATGCCATTTGGTCACCATACCGGCTCCCGTACATTGGCCCGCGCATCGGTTGGAACATTGCGAAGATAAATCAACACCGTAGGCCCTTATTCTCATTTACAGTTCCACTATATACACGTCTGAGTTCCTACGTGACGCCCCAGGAATCAAGGAGGAGACCTAGATACAAAGAGATCGGCTGTATATTCTATCCTTTGCAAGCAGGTCGCTTTGTGGTTGGGACATCTATACCCCTGGGCTCGGTAATCACGGCGGCATAGCAAGATAGGAAAGGAGTACACTATGAATCAAAACCACAATGATATGGAGAGACAATGTCCACAGTAGCCATATGGCTTGTTATTCATTATCATCCTTGAACTATTTATCAATGGTTACTGATTTGATTAACATTGACAACATGAGTCATCACTTGGCTCCAGCTCGGCCTAGTCCACTGTTCCTACACTATTCGTCAATTAAACAAACATTCTCTCGCCAGAATAATATAAACATCTATTTGCTCCGCACGGGGCCTTACGACACAGATTGCCCTACATATTCACCGGCGATTAAGCTGTTGACCAGGGACCCCTGCTTAGAATGTCGGCAGCTGAAGAGTTTTATTGCAGACAAACTAGCCGGGTTCGCCGTCCTGGATGCTGAAAGTATCGAGACTCTGTGTTCAACTCTCTGTGTACGTATACCAAGCTCACGCTGCCAGAACAGTCATACATTTCTGATAGACTTGTGCAGCCCGCTTTCCAATAGTTCGCTAGCTATCCAAAGGCATATTGCTTGTGACGAGCCCCAGCTTATGTTCGATAGCCACACAATAATCCAAGATTGATACTCTACGCGTAGGTGTGTGCTTCTGTGCCGAGTATTCCAGGTTTACGGTCTAAGGTGACTTTACCTAATATTATAGATGCCACATGCCACTCCCGTCACGTCTTGAGTTGTGTCAAATGCTACCCTACTCAGATGACTGCGAGTGACCTGGTCGAAAGACAAAACTGGTCTAATGGGCTTGTAGATAAACATCCTGGGCTTACTTACGGAGAAGGAAGCAGAAGCTCTGTGGATATATGACATGCCCCTTGGGCGTGTATATCGATGGCTTCTTGGAGATATCGGGTGTATAAACTATATCGCAGTAGTATATGGAAAGTTACACCGTTAATGTTCATGGAGGCATGAGCTTGCCCTCCTCTGAGCATTTCATGCATACAGAAGTCCAAAGTGAGAAGGACGAGGACATAGCAGTATGGCTGGCT